ATTTTTTGAGGGAGCATGAGTGGTATTTCTGGGTCACTTGGTGGCTAAAACATGACCAAAGAAACAAAAAACACCTTTTAATAACTTTTAGAAGTTTATCCTGACCAAACAAGGTGAGGATTTTTAGTGGCTAATAAGTGGGGGGAAAAAACAATATAGTGTCACTGCCTGGAATTGACCTGTCTGTGTATAAATATGTTTGGTGTGCTGGAAAAGAGAAAGAGACTCTGGAACCTCAGTCGAATTGTTATGAATAAACAATGACCCGATCCCCATTCATAATGTAAGTGTACTATGGAAGGTTCATTCCCTGGTCAGGAGGATGTGAAATAACCATCCACTGCCCACAGATCCTGCCATTGCTTTTTTTATGTGGTGGCCTGTCCGTTGAGAATAGAGTGGCAGTCCCATGATTCAGGACTGTTACATATATATAGGTCTCTGTGTGTGTGTGTGTGTGTGTGTGTATAAATTGAAAGTATTCCTTTGAAAGATTTGAATGGGTTGTCTCAGTAACCCATAATGTTCCTTAAATTGTTAATGGTTAAATATTAAAGGTGAAGATCAGGAATGGATCAAATGCTGTTTCTTAGGTTGATACGTGATTGATTGCAGTTTTAAAAAAGCTTTTAAAAAATGATGCAACTTATGACAACAAAAGTACAAACAAATCTAAGCGCTCTGGCTGTTTTCCACTACCTGATTGGCAGGTTAGGGAAGCGCTGAGCTCTACACTGTGCCAAGGGATGATGCACTTGTGAGTGTGTGTATGTGATGGCCAGTAGCGGCAATGGTTGGGGAGTTTAAATGAGACAGTGATGAAAAGGAGGCCCCTAGCCTGAAGAGAAGGAGAAAAATGTCAGCAGGAAGAAGAAGCGTCTTTTCTTGAGATAGGATGTGCACAGCTACAGGCCTCAGATCAGCATGACCAAACCAACAGCTTTAATGCATGGGACTGACATGTAGGCATGTGGTTTGTATGATGTCATTCTCACTGGATTGCTCTAGGCAAGTGTGTGCATTGTGTGTTTTTAGCTTTCCAATTATAGATCTGAAGTCTTCTGGCCTCCTTTTAAGTCTTGCAATTTCATATGGACTTTTTAAATACATGTTGAGTACATGTTTGGTACATTATCATTACTTAAAAGGATACTTCACCCAAAAATGAAAATTCTAAATGAAAATCATTTATCAGAATCAGAATCAGAATGAGCTTTATTGCCAGGTATGTTTACACATACGAGGAATTTGTTGCACCCTCATGTTGTTCCAAACCCATAAGAGCTTCGAAACATTTTCTTTGCATTGAAAGTCCAGATAACCAAAACTCAGAAGATCCAAATAGGTCACAAAAAATGAAGGTAACACTTTATTTTGATAGTCCACTTTAGACATTCTATTATCAGTAAGTAACTTTGCAACTACATGTCAACTAGTAGTTAGTAGAGTATTAGTAGACTGTCTGCTTAATATCTTCTAACACTTTCAGCTAATCATTGTCTTCAAGACTACTAGAAGGCTACAGGCAGGTGAGTTTTATCAGGGTTGGATCAAATCTCTGCAGGAAAGTGGCCTGGAAGGGCCAAGTTTGCCCATCGCTGCTCTACGTTTTGGTTTCCTGGACTTTCAAAGGGGGAACAGAAACCTCTTAGGTTTCATTAAAATATCTTAACTTGTGTTTAGAAGATTAACCAATGTATAATTGGTTTTGAAAGAGAATGAGAGCGAGTAAATGATGACCATAATTTTCTTGTAATCTTTTGACAGCTCTAATATTTTTAAAGTCATAAATTCTGTTTATATATTCAACAGTATAGATTAAACAGGTTCAACATTTCAAAGTGCTTGAGAAACACCGATCTATAGAGTAAGCATGAAGGAATAACAGGTGGGCAAGTTGCATTTATATTCAAGAAACAAACACAATACCTGAAGGCATGCTGTTTCCGTCTGATATGAGTGTACTGCTCCACATTTACCTTAGTGAATAATTTTTTTCTGTCCATAAGTCAACGTATCCTTTATCTTTTACTTGTAAACTCATTGCCACTCTCAAAGAAATCAATGACAAAGCATTGTGCAAACAAGACTATATCCCCCATAAGCATTTGTACACATTGTGTTTTTGTTTTTTTTCCTTCATATTCAATAAAAATACTGTTGATTGCCAGTGGATTTGGGGAAACCCTCTTGTTAAGGTGACAGCCAAGCTGATGCAGTGCTCTTGACTTACTGTTAATGAATCTCTGGGGAGAGAGAATAAGTGTGTGTCTGTTCTTGGCTGGATGCCTATTAGGGTCAAAGGGTAAACTACACAGTGGGGATTTCTGTGGAAAACGCAGGGACGGGTCACTTGGCAAAGACACATCACTGTGACTGCAAGCAGATGCCTTTAGCATCACACTAACCCACGGGCCACAGTAACACACCTCAGACTGAGAGACCGTAACACCATTCACCACCAATCCATTACTGTTAGCAGATGACACAGCGCTTTTAAAAGATCTTTGTGTCACAGTCGCTCATTATGAGTGTGTTTGTCACATTCAGCCTTTTCTTTTCCTGTGAAAGCAGCGGGTTTGTTCAACTTTCTGTGTTTTGTTGCAAAGAGGCCAGTGTTGCCATAGCAATTCCTACAGATTTCCCACCTTTTTGTGAGCATTTGTTTGAGATTATTGCTGCAGCTTGTCGAGTTGGTACCATAAAATATAGATTTGATTTCAAAATGACTAATTGGTGTTTGAAGCAAAGATTTTTAGTAAGTAGGCCTATGAGAAATTCTTCCAGTACAGTAAGCAAAATCCAATTTTCCTAATACCCAAGTTATCACATGTGAATATAGTAATAGCGTTTTGCATATTATGTTATATAATCGCTTTTAGTTTCTGTTAAATGTCTGTATATATACTATTTGAGGGTATAGAAGAACTGTAAGCTCATCTGTATCCTTTACCTTACTGCAAAGGTGCATATTAAAAAAAATTTATTTACATTTGAATCATAGGAGGAAGATTAGAAAGGTAAATATAATGTGATAATTAGTTTAAAATAGCTCAGTATTTGCATAGGAACTGTTTCACTTTATTACAAGTAGGCCTGTCACGATAACAACTTTTTGTTGTGCGATATATTGCCCCAGAAATAATTGCGATTTTATGACCATTTTATGCCACTGAATATATAATCATAATGTAAAAGCATAATAATGCAAGAAGGCCTACACACTTCCAAATGACAACAAACTTGTCATTTTTAAGAATATTTAGACCATAGATACCTTAAAAAACCTGAATAAATAGTAAATAAA